TGAAAGGTTTGAGCATATATGCTTAAAACACTAAAGATTATACATATATAGCCCTGTACCGAAAAGCAAAAGTAAATCGATCGAAAGTAAAATAATTGAAGAATATTGGGTATTAAGCATATTAAATTGAAAATATTTAATCTTCTATTAATTTGCATTTAACAATAATTGTTACTAACATACTAACTCATTCATCGAAATGAGACAAAGTCGAGACTCAAGAAAATAGTTTGAATAAGTTCGAGTGTGCACTGAGTGACTTTTCTTAAGACGATCAACCACAGGTGGATGTTTTTCACTGTCTAATATAACTTTCTTTACTGTACCTACGTCCATGTCCATGTTCGCAAAAGTACATCAGAGTCAATCAAATTTTTGTAGGAATCATATTAAATATACTCTCTTTCTTTAAAGTAGATCAGCAGATTTTTCGACATTTATTAGATTAAAAAAAGTACAAGTATTGTTATACGATATATATAATAATATAATTCATCGAAAATATGGTCTTTTACATGACTTCGAAGACAAATTCGACTGCTAAGTCAGATCGCTGCTAAATTAGGTCACCAAACTGGTGGTAGGAGTTTTTTCTTGTTGTAAAAAAATGTGTGATCTAATTTGGTTTCATTGGGTTTTTTTTCCAGTTAGTTCTAGTTAGTTAGTTCTTGAGCCATTCATCTAGACTTGCTTGTAGTTTGCTTGATGTCAGTTTTATTTTATTTTTTAAATTTTCTGTCTTATGAGGATATGGAAGAACGGGTACTATAGAAATCATTTTCATCCTTAAGCAGTTTTTAAATTGTACAGGAAAAGTATTGTGGAAAATATACTTTAAGTGCTATGCTAAATATAATAAACAAAAAAATAATTAAAAAGGCTTTCTAGTTAATGAAAATGAAAATGAATGATTGTCCTTATTTCACTTCGTCTACTTGATATAATAAATTACGTTAAGTAAAAAAAATAGTTTATGGAAAGTAGCTTTTTTGGCGTATATCTACATTTATCCATGTATTTATTATAATTGGAAAAAAAATTTGCTTTACAATTGTTATTTGTTTAATTCAAATTTCTTTTAAAAAAATATGAATAAAACGGAAATAAAATAATTTTTAACTGCAGATTTACGAACTATGGCAGTAATGTGTCTACACAATACTTGAATATAATATTTTATTAAATTTACTCATTAAAATGCATTCAGCAATCCTTTTTGCTATAAAATTACTTTAATGAAAATACCTTTCTCTTGCAGAGCTGGGGAAGTGAAAGTATTTATGCAGTCGAGCTACAGGCAGGCAGCTCGTCCTTATGAGGCGTATCTGACTTCAGCATTTGATTTTTGCCTCTGGTAAAATTTTTCCTTTTTTGCATGAAATGTAATTGTAAATAAAATTTCTACAGATACGGCAAAAACATTATTTTAATGTAAATAAAAAAAAAATAAAGAAAAAATTATTTCAAAAGAAGAAATGACTTTCATTTTTAGTCAAGCTTAAAGCCAGGGTATAAAAACGGTGGAAAAGCAAGAAAAGTCGAAAGAATTAAATTAATTGCATTTTTATGTGCAGCCGCAAGGTATATTATCACTCGTAATTCGCAACGTTTAAGAGGCCAACGTACCAATCCCATACTCGTTGAAGTCCATACGGGCTCCTTGAGCAAGTGCTGGTGTAAATATGAAACCGAATTGTTCTTGAGAGCATTTCGAGACATAAGGATGCATTATGCCACATAAACGGTGCGTAATGCAAAATTTCGAATGTTAATTATTTTTCTTCTATGAGCCTGGACGGCACTCGAAATTACCATAAAAGGATGCACTTAGGGGTTACCAGCCACCGAATGGAAGCCCTAAGAGTTCTAGTAGACCGTAGCATCGACATCAATGTAAGTAAAAGCAAAAACATGTGCATTGAAACAGAGGCAGATACACTTACGAACACTCAAGAGAAAGGCAAATTTATGCGAAGATATCTCTAGGCGAAATTCACGCTCGATTCTTTGTCGCTTTGTTTTTGTCAAAAGGATGTTTAAGTAAATTACAACGCATTAATATGAAACGCTCAGGATTGATGGTAGCCGGGGGTGTGCTCGTATATTGCGTACGATTACAGAGTTAAGTATAGGACGGGGTTAAAAATTTGATACCGTATTCATTGTAACTTTTATGCATATTGAAATTGAAATTCTATAAAGGACACACAATCTTAAACAACGAAAAACACAAAGAATAACGTGCCAAAGCAACAGAAGCGTATAAGGGGCAGCAGGGCTGCGAGTATATCGGGGAATTAAAAGGAAAATTAAAATGATTTAAAGTAAACCTGGCAACCCCACTTGACTACGCAAAAGCGTAAAGCTTGCGAGCTTCGCTGCGCTGAGCCGAATGTGCCCGTCATAGCCTGATACTTTCCGTTGCGCTAGGAGTAAAACCAAACGAACGCTGTGGGAATTCCGAATCAACAAAAACCAAAACAGAAGTTCACCCAAACAGGGGTGGCATACGATGCCAACGCTGAAGTACGTTGCCACGCACGTGCCTACCGTAATGCACTACACATACAACAAAAAACAACAAAATAAAATTTATGCGAAAAAAATAAAGCAAAAACTGAGCTCATATTTCTCGAAAAAACCGTCAACAATTTGTTTGCACAATCCAAGCATTTGATTTGGTCGGTCACAATGACTTTTCCCACACCTCTATTTTTAGAAGTTTCAGACTATAACATGCCATTAGACTAAACTCAAACCCTAGACTTACTTTGATAGATTAATAGTTTTTTTTACACAATCTTATATCTTATATGATTTGAGTATAAATCAAACTGATATATTGGCATGTTTCTCAGTCAGACTCCTGTTAGTTATCGTCAATCAAAATTGGAACTAAATATTATTTACATCTTTAGATTTTTAACAATAGCACAGCAGATTTTAAAGATTGCCACTCATTATTGTTCTTCTAGATGGCATGTGATAGATAACAGTGTTAGACCGTCTCGCAAAACAGTAACTCATCTAGGCTGTTTAAATTAGGTTATTGTAATACTACAATATTTGAAAGCTTGCTGGCTGCTTGAAAGAGAACCTATTGAGGATCAGGAAACCATTCGTTATTTTGATAAAACAAACCTGCGTTATCTGACAAATATTTGAGGAAAGAAAAATCAAAAGTGTATAAAGGTCTTTTGGCCAGTGCTTGGTTATAACAGAGCAGATAAGAGACAGTTTCCATTGCCTTCTCTAAACTACACCTACAATAGTAGTTGGTAAAAGAATACGTTAGCCGACCGTTATGTCCACCTATAAGGTAGATTCTGTCAGTACATTAATTGTAATGGACAGTAGGGAATGGGCAAAACCGCACAGTTGTTTTGTTCTTTTTTAATTATAGACGGGCGATGTCATAAGTGTTGTTTGTTGTGTGGGTTCTTAGACCCATCTTTGTGGTACATGGTTTTCTACCAAAATAATAATAATACTGTAGTATGTATGTAGTATGCATTTTCATTAAAATGTGTTGACATAAAAAACCTATAAGTTTTTAATGAACTAATACTTTTAAATAGATGTGTTTAAAGGTATTGTATGTCATTATTCAAAATGATGTTCATAATATTGCAAAGAGTTGAAAGAGGACTTGGAGTGAAACATAAATAGATGGAAAAGTTTGTGGAGTTTTTGATTATTGTAAAAAATGATTATTATAAAAAAGGTTAACGGTACCATAATGTATTTAAGATTAATCTTATGGGATCTCCTTATGAGGTTTACGTAAACAAACGGACGCCGATAATGCATTTCGGGATGACCACTGCCCCGAATGTCATCACACAAGTTTTGTGTTTATCTGATAAGGTTAACAGATTACTAGAAGGAGATAAAATTAATGTTAAATAAAAAAGGAATATATATGTAGATAGATAGATGCAATAATATTACAGTGAAACTTGAATAATAGCTATAAAAAATTGGTTATATTAATGGTGATTGGTTAAGTGTTAATCCATATTATATGTTACTAAGCTTTTAATATACCATTTATATTGTAATGGTAACATAAGTAACTTCTTCTAGTCTAATATCTTAACCCACTAATGACAAATATTTTTACATTTTTCTCATCTTTAGTCTTTTAGTGAAACTGCTAACCCTGATTATAGCTCGGTTTGAAATAAAAACAATCTATACCCGAAAATGCATTCCCTTTCATAAAATACACTTTGCTGCGTTGATCTCTAAACAAAATACTCACCAACTATACCGTAGTACCGTACCGTACCGTACCGCACCGCACCGCACCGCAACGACCCGTAGCATTGTGCCAACATGAAAATGTTAGTAACGCCAGCCTACCCCACCAAATTTAAAGCAAAACTGAAAATGCAACATCAGCCACAAGGATACGTTTGACAATAAGTGTATGCAAAGGACTTTCACTTGCACACATACACAGCACAATTATGAATAGGACTACGAATGCGTTGACAATAAGTAATACGGCGGCTCAGCTATGCGCGTGCTGCGCTGCCAGCGGAAGCCGTGTTGGGAAAAAGGGTGACTAATGCATGTGCTGGTGTGATTGCTAACAAAAGATTCCGAATTCGCTTACTAATGCAGCAACGGCGCTGCTGCAGCGAGTGCTTTGGTTTAGAGTGAATACAGGCTTTGGGTATTTGGTATTTGTTAGCGTAAGGGCTAAAAGGACAACGATATGGGGGATGAAATTTTCCCAACAACAACAACAATGCAACAGTCAGCAAGTAAGTAAGTAAGCAATAACAAAGGCAGCAATAATTTCAATTTCAATTTCGCTTTCCTTTGGCTGGCAGACATACAGCACACAGAGAGACCGTCAGACACATAAATAGATGTGGCAGGATAAAATGTTAGTCATTCTCCGCATAAACGTAGCACAGGAAGGAAGTTCATACTTTGTTAAGTTTTCTTTCGTTCATTTTATAAAGTTTAGTTCTGTTTGATTATTTTCCTTCAATAAGTTTTGTTAATTTTGTTTATAGAAATCCCGAAAAAAAAAGACTAAATAAGAAAAAAGTATATTGAAGTGCAACGAAAAGATTTAAATGTGCTAAAAACAATCATAAACAAAAAAAAAACATATTAAACAAAAAGTATTATTTATAATTTATTGTAAAATAAGTACAAAAGTGCAATGGCGGCCATAACTCAACAGCAGCAACAACAGCAACACTCACAACAACACCAACACAGCATACAATTGCTACATACAGCAGCAACTAATCACATGCCGCACGGCTTGGGGCTGCTGACCACTGTGGCCTCATTGCCGCCTAAATATCGCAGTCGTTACCTGAACATAAAAACCAAATGCGAAATACCTTTGGATTTGTCAGTAAAACCTAACTCACCGGAAATAGCCAATGATGTGCCAATCGCAACCACATTCACAGAAGTCTACACAGAACCAAGCAGTGAGCCAGAAACACAGTTAAGCGAAGAAGTCGTAGAAATGGCGGAACAAACCCAAACACAAACACAAACAAAAACAAGGGTCACAGAATTAAGCAGTAACAGCAGCAGCAGCAGCAGTAGCAGCAGCATCAGTAGCAACAGTTACAGTAGTCAAGAAAATGAAAAGCCGATAACACCACCACTTACACCCACCCCCAACTCCGCAATTAAACGAAAATATGACGCCGTTTGCATTGACAATGAGGAACATATTATTATGGACAAGTATACGAATCCGCTTAAAATGTCAAAATCTGTAGCTCATCCCACCATCAAGAGGGAGAGTACACCTACAAAACCCATCAAAGCCACAGAATCTGCACCACGAACTACAAAAATGCAGCCAGCGGTTACCAAGAGTACCACCAAAAATAAAGCAACTCGTAAACTGAAATTCGACGAGGAGACCAGCTCTCCAGTTTCTGGTACCATTATACGACCGCTGGAAGACATAACAGATGGCACAGTGCAGTATAGTAATGGTGACATCGATCCACGTTATAACATCGTCGAAATCACCGAAGAGACTAAAGCTGAATTAGCGGCTATTAAGAATGTAATAGGTGATTATATATGTAAATTGTGCAGGCTCAAATTTGACGATGCTTTTGGATTGGCTCGTCATCGTTGCGCCTGCATAGTGTTGCTCGAATATCGCTGTCCCGAATGTGGTAAACAATTCAATTGTCCCGCAAATTTGGCTTCACATCGACGCTGGCACAAACCGAAAAAAGAAGCGAACGGCACAGCTTCCAAAAAGGAGAATCGCAATACAACAGAAGGAGCTCCGAAACAGAAGGAAAATAGAGATGTAGGTCAGAAAGGCGAGGAGCTACCGTTTGCTTGTAGTGAGTGTGGTAAATGCTTCAAAAGGCAGGCATATTTGCGCAAGCATCAACTGACTCATGCGAAGAAATCAACTTCGGTCACGTCAACAGCCAAGAGTAATGTAGAATTCGCACCGGTTGCATTTGGCCAAGGTATACTAAGTAAATCCGAAACTTTTGTCGCAAGTAGCTATCACTCATATGATGGATCTTCAGCCTCCAGTTTACACTCATACAATGGCACAAACGAGGATGAAGGCGTGGTGCACAACAATGTTGTCAGCAGCTACGAGTACGATGCTGACTCCTTGTCAGATTGCAGCAATAGCTCAGCAGGTTACGGTCGTCTGCAGATTGTCGAGTCGGGCTTAACTGAGGAAGAGAATATTGCGGCGGCTGCCTTGACAAATCTGCGTAACTGCACGTCGGTGATTCAGCACACAACGCTGGCGCATTGATTGATGATGTCGAGTGAGTAAACAAATGTGTGAGTTTATCAAATGCGCTTAGCGTATCTAAGGTGGGTTCGGTTGACGGGTTGTTGTGTGTTGCTGACACTGCAATTCGCAGGGGTTGCAGGTAGTGAGTAGTGAGTAGTGAGTACTGCTATTGTAATTAGATTTTATTGTTAGGGTGGAAGTGTTTTTGTTTACTTTACTTATTTGATTTTTTGTTTGTTTGGTTCTAGTTCTTACTTCGAATGTTAATTTAAGCTCGTAGTACTACAGCTAAAATACCAAAGATAAGATACGTGAATTATTTGTTAGAGTCCAGGCACCCCAAATAATAATTTTAGTGTGTTAAGGTTGCTTTTAAGTTTGCTGTTAGGTTATTTATAAAATTTATTATAAGTTTTGTTTTAAACGCTAGTCGAAATCGTACAAATCTAGTCATATTTGTTAATATTTAGTTGCTAGTCACGTTTTGGGCACTATCAGCTTCGAGGATCTCATACGCCAGAAATATGTAGTCAAGTAATTTTGTGCATGCTCATAAATAGCTGGATTGTTCCAGAAGAAAGAGCAGCTCTTAGTATATTTCATTCATAGTTAAGAAAATCTAAGTTGAATTTTAAGTAAAAATAGAAAACAAAATTCAGGCAAATTAGTGCAGTAATAAATTTAGTTTAGTTTGTAGTCATCGAAGGTTTCTCTGAGATGTTTCCAAAAGATGAGTGTGAACTCTAGTCATTCTATAGATAAGTTCAAAAAGCTTAACCATTGCGGTTCAGCTACTATTTAATCTCAATTTAGTTCTTTAGTTTTGTAGCTAAATAAGTTTAGTTCTAATTAAGCTACGTTTAAGACATAAACCAGCGTTTCACTACCAGAAATCAAGCCACAAAGTACAATAAGTATTTAGTTTTATAATAAAGCCTTTACATTACATAAACATGTATAATATTAACTTGCAATTGAAAATGTAAAAATCTCAAAATGCGGTTGTATACTTAAAAAACGAAAATTAATAATTAAAAATATTAATTTGATATTATATTTAATATAAAAATAAAATAACGAAATATCACAACGTTATTGTTCCTTGCATACAATAATTCAGTAAATTTTAACTGGAAGTACCAAAAGGGTTGTATTTACGAGTATTTCTGTTTCGCAACGAAATTTCAAATATGTTAATTAAATAGTAATTAAATAGTTTAAAAATGCATTTTAACTATCTATCATATCGTATACAAAATAATTATAAGAAATTCGGAGTTGTAATTTAATTATCAAGTAAGGACGAGTGCATCCAACGACCAGGATGCAAAGACAAATTTTTAGTGTTAAGTTCTTATATTAAATTTGTGATACTATTTAATAAATTATTTAAAAAAAATCGATATTCGTAATTTTGTACTTGAAATTTGCATTAATTTACATATAATATAACATATATATTTTTATACTCTATATTTATAATTGTAATAATTAATAATGTTAATATTATTAACCTCTAGGTACCAGAAATTATTTAAGCGCATATTTTTATATATTTTTGTAAAAAATTAACAAAATTAAAATAAAACTGAACAAAAAAAAAATTATTATATTTTATTTTATTTTAAAGATTTTATTTTAAAATTTTATAATTTTATTTATATTTTTATTTTTTCTCTTTGTCTTCACAAAATCAAAAGCTGGTTCGAAGGTAATACCCAACACTTGTTATCACAGTGTTAATGATGACACAGTTATTAATGATAATAATGTAAAGATGAAGTATACCATTCTGGTGCTTATAAGGAACAAGTATTGAGAATGGTGTATATAGTCAGACTATTAAGAATCACAAAATAAAATGGCAGATTATATATAAGATCACAACATAAATTCACACACAGATGCATACTTACCCGTACAATCATTCTGAAGTAGAAATGAGTTGATTATCATTTATAGAGATAGTCCGAGGAAGGAGGGAGGAAGTGGACCGCGTAAGCGTCCGACTCTATCTTAGTAAGATGCATTAAAATAGTTAAGGTATAGACGTGAGTATGTCTAACCTGTCATGTGTCGATTTCCGATTATATTGAAATTAACATTTATATTTTGTTAGTAAATGATATAAATGATAATTATAACATATATATTAAGCAGAACTTCATTTATCATTTCATTATTATAACTGATTATTTTTGTTTTTGCCTTCCAGTTCTGATAAGAGGAAATCTAAGAATGTTGTAGTAAATGAATTGTGTAGAGTTAATCTTATCGTGTTTTAACAATGAACGGTCAGATTTTCTAACCTGAGGGTTTCTTCCTCATAGTCTAAAAGTAAGAAGCCATGGTACAAGTTTTCTTAAAATTAGAAAAATATGGGTAAGAATTATGCATTAAAAGCTATTAAAATTGGCTTTATTTATTTAATGAACTTTTGATCCATTTTATATATGTAGATATATTTATTTAATATTCGTTTTTCATCGAGGTGTAAAGCAAATGTCGGTCTGATGTCAGGAGCATGAAGTTCAATCGCATATTTTTTGTCGCCATTGTCTCTATTCCTTTGCCTATGTGTTTTCATATGTTATCTTTAAACTAGAATTACATTAGCTATTTTTATTGGAGACGCCCACCTTGGTTATGCGAGCTATGATAGCTCTTTGTCTCCTCTTCAAAATGTTTTATGTGCCGCATGATTTCAGTGGATCATGTTTTAACTGCATTCCATTTGAGACTGGATTGGAGCACATCTCATATGTGATCCTGCTATGCGATGATATGTGTCCCAAGACTCTGTCGAGGAGTTCCCGTATTTCTTTAAAACGGTCACAATGTTCTATACTTTCAGTAACGTTTTGACAGTTTGGGCAGTGGAGGAGTTATTCTCAGAAGCATTTGGGGCCATTTAATATCTAAGTCAAATATAAGTACAATTCCTAAATTCTTTAATGTTGAAAAAAAGTGTATAAATGTATATATATGACTGCTCCCACCTTTGTTGGCATTATCTAACAAACCACAAACGGTCAACAAATTATTGATCTGCCGTTACGGTTTGTCTGTTCTAAGGCAAAAGTTGCAGTTATCGATTACTTGCTTTGTTACTAACATACTGATCTACACTAAATACTATTTGAAACGGTCTGTAATATGAAACTAACAATGGATCATTTTTACAAAGTATTTACGCATCAAATTCTTTACTGAGTTCAATAATTTGTCCGACTGCTCAAATTTTTTATAGCAAAAGTTAGAATTTAGTTAGGATTTAGAATTTCACTGTTCGCAAGGATAGTTACAGAGGCATATCCGCGGATTTAGCATATTGAATTTAAACTGAGTGCTTCATTAGTTCCAAATAGTATGTGCGTACGTGCACTGCCAGGACGATATAATACATTTTCAGGTATAGGAAGTGAAAATACTTTTTATATCCTAGTTTGATAGACATACTCTTTGCTGTAAACCTAGTTACGGTATTAAATAATTGTATGAAAAAACTGAAAACTAAAATGTTTAGAGTATTGTATGACAGGAGTCCCATTTGAAGAGACCTACTTATACTTAAATATTATGAAAATTATTTGAACTGAAGTCACAACTTATTAAGAACATTTCAGTTATCACTGTGATAAGTTATTAACGACATATACTTTTAGGATAATTTATTCTTAGGGGTTATCAAAATATATATATGTTATATATTTAGATGATGAAAGCATTATGGATTTTTCCAAGTAGTTCCTTCCACAAGGACTACTTTCTGCGACGATATATAAAATGGTTGGTCTGTTTGGAGAAGCCAGTATTGATATCAGTTTCGGAAGTCATGAGGCTTATTTGGGAGTTATTGACAACCATTATTACAAAATTCTATCTCTAGAATTAATTTGATTTGCTGTCATATGCTCGAAATCATTTTTTGTTCAAAGTAATGAATAGAATAATCTATCGGAAAAATAAAACGGATGTATAGCATTTATTAATATTGTAGAAAATAAAGTTTATTTGATAACTAATCAACTTGTGAGTAGCTAATATAAATATACTAGAAATAAAGCAAAAATTTAAGTACTGCAAAGAAGACTTATTTCTTTATAGAATATAATGGAACAGAAAAATAATAAATATATCTCCTTCAAAGCAATTTTTCAATTTCAAGAAATGAAATTGCGTGCTTCATTAGTGTCAAATAATGGCACGTACGTGCGCATCCTTGCAGGACACACATTATTAAATTGATGAATGCCTCATTTAATTACACACATTCGCTAAATAAACGGTAAATAAGAGAAGTGAAAAACAAATTTTACTTCAATTAAAATTAAAAAAAAAATATAAATAAAAACAAATAAAATAAAAGTAGAAGTAGAAGTAGAAAATCCATATAGGCGGAATCGGACTGTAATCGTTTAATAATTGCGGTTGATGCGTGAGCAACTGGAACAAAGGGAGGGGAGAGTCTACAGTGGAAAACTAAACATTTAGAGAAGTGTATTTCTTAAATTGTGCACTTAATGAGCATCGTTTTCCATATAATTTCGACGCTTTTCTCATAATTTCCACACTTTTCACGGTGTTGCCTATGGACATATTTCTATTGAAAATAGCAATAAGAAAACACCAAATGAATTACTACTCGATTAGAAAAAGGATACATATTACTTATAGTTTTCAGAAAGGACATTGACATGGGTTATCGATCTTCAATTTACTCACACCCTCGCCGTAAAACGAAACCAAAACAATACGAAACGGAAGTGGACAGATGCATCGCATTGTGGAAATACACAAACTGCAAGCAAACACGGAAGGAAAGTGTTTACCAATAAATGAACAAATGTTTTCAGGCAAGCAGTTGAAAATTAAAATTTAAATAAAAAAACGCTGAGAACAGGGTGGACCACTATTTAGATACGGCTTTAATATTTATGCAGTCTTAACATACATTTTTTACTTAGTTTTTGGATAAAAAGTGGAAAACATTGCATCAGCGACTAACAGCCAAGAGCAGCAGCAGCAGCAGCTTAGCAGCGCAGCGAAGTTGAAACGGAAGCGACATGATATGGCATAAAAATTAGTAAATAAAAAACCGAATGAAGCTAACCAAAACCAGACAGGACATGCCTCAGTTCGATGGCTTTCATACTATTTCATATCGCATACGGTTCACGAAATCGAACCCAAGCCCAAACAAACAATCCCAGAAAGGGATGCAAGTCAAAAAGATTTTTTTTGCTTTTTTCATGCGGCAAAGAAAAGTTATTAGTTTGGGGTGTGAGCCTGTGAGCCTGTGAGCCAGTGAGCCTGCAGCGTGTGTGTAAATGGAGTAGTGAAAGTTTAGAGACAATAGCGAACACCAACGCATTGCTAGGATAACAAACCACCCCCATGTGGCCCGCACAGAATCCCATACATTGTAGCAGTGTGGCAGTGTAGCATCGTTATTTTCTGGCTGCAGCGAAATGCTCATAGTCATTACCAGACGCTGCTATCATGGCATGCCCAATGGAACGGGTCATACAGCGTACATCTGTCCTATTGAATTACTAATCAAACAAACTGGAACAAGCACACACGAATATGCATTTACGCATTTAAATGCGTAATTACTCAATGTGCGAGCATGAAATGCGATATCTGATATATTGGCATTTGGACTACGTACCAACGTTGGCCGCGACACCGCCAACGGGAAGAGCGTTAAAATTACCAACAGCGGGATGCTTTTGCGTATATTGGTTACACAAGGAGCGGGCTTACTGCACCTTTCAAACAAAATGCAGCATTTAAACTGTGTTTCGAATTCCGTTAGAAATATTCCATTGCGCCCGTATTTGAAGGCTGTAGTTTACACATGCGCAACATGGTCGATACACGGCCAAATGCATCGTTATCAGATACAATGCCAACAAAGCAAAAAAACAACAACGCGGTAACGCGGTAACGCAAATGCCCAAGCCCAAATACTCAACAGGAACCACAAAAACTGCT